AATCAACAAAACTGTTTTACAATATACACTAGTCTTCAAAATATCTATTGCTATATGCCAATTTTAAAAAATGTATTTAAAAAAACTCATACAGACAATAACAAAGTATAGCTTGTCATTGCCACCATAATACTGAAGGTGTGTTGAAGAATGAAACTGACAGAATTAAATAAATAAAAATACCTTGCTGTGTGACAAAAAAGTGACGCTACATAACATTTAACTATATCAGTACTATCATCAAAAACAGTTAACTTGAAGGGAAATTATTATATTGTCATTTATGTTTTGTAAACATACAATCATATAACATTTTAACATAGCTTCTAAGATCAGCAATACCCGTATTACATTGTTTTATGTTATTTAATAAAGTTGACTTTGACCACAATTATTGTTGTTCTCTCTCTTATTGCATAGATCATTGCAGTTTTCTTCAAAACATGATTTTGGTTATTTGTAATGTTCTTCACCATAAAAAGTTTGTATTAAGAAATGACTAATCCTGCTATGGAAAACTGTTTCTTTACATAAAAATAATTGTTAAGCATAAATGTAATGAAACTATATTCAGTTACTAGTATGGTATATATTGTAGTGCTCCGTCTTTTTTCGATATGTGACAGATATACTATTACATATTTATTTTAATACCAAAACAAACTGATCTGGAGCTTGAGGCATGCTGGCACCCACAACCAAATGGGAATCAAAATGCACAGCATGAATCCTAATATCTGGGGAAAGGGATAAAACATCATATAAATGATAAATATAGCCAAAAATGTCATAGTAGGCCTAGCTGATTGGCAGGTAGGGCAGAGAAACACACGGCAAAAGGGAGGAGTGCAAGGTTTGTGGCATATGTAAAGAAAAAGTTTGCATAAAAAGGGCAGCACTGAATAAGAATAGCTAATCTTGTGAAAGGAGGTAAGTACCATATTGGAAACTGCTGGTTTTACTAATTAAACATTATATCCTGTACATATGCAGTTATTTTAATTTGGTTTGCTCTTACTAAAATGCGTTTTTATTGATATAAAATTACTTTTTAACAACAAAACAGTTGAACTTACAAATTTTAAAATAAGAAATTTAATGGTGCTATTTATTTTGTATTTGGTGTAGTATTTAATGACGAAATTGACAATTAATGATTATTGTGCCATTTTTTTGCAATAAACATACAACAATATATGCACAACAGAAATTAAATGATGAGATGAAAATGTGTTATAACGGCGTGTAGAAAGAACAACAATAAAATGGACCTACAATATTATTGATTATTTGCAAATAGTAACTATGGAGACGAGGTAATAAAATAAAAATCAAGTCGAGAACAACAACAAAATTTTATAAACGAAACCTCTCGCCGAGTATTGGCTATTATATTAATTCCCTGTCAATGTTCTCATCTTCATTAAAAGACGTAAGATGACAAAAGCAAGATCTTGAAGAATCTATCTATCTATTGCAAATTATTGTTTAGTGATACAGGTGATTATTCCACCCAAGAAACGCCCTTTATATGGAAAGTCTTCTGCCGCTAAAAGAATGCAAGCACAAAGAGCAGCTGAAACAGAAGAACGCAATCAAAGACTTCAAGCACAAGCTGCAAAACAGGCTGCTCAAATACAGGAAGAGACTTTGGAACAACGCGAATTTAGACTTCGAGCTCAAGCTAATAGGCAGGCTACTCAAAGACAGCAAGAAACTGTTGAACAGCACAAAGCCAGAGTTCAGTCAGAATCATCAAGGTAAGCTGGATATAGACAACAAGAAACTTCTAAACAACGTCAAACCAGACTTCAAGCACAAAAATTCAAGCAGATAACTTACAGAGAGCAAGAAACAGAGGATCAACATGATGTACGACTTCAGGCTCAAAGAACAAGATAAGCTCAAACACGATCTAATTTCAAATAAAGCTTTGTTTGATTAAATGCTTTTTTATTTCTCGCATCGCAGCTTTTGTCTATTTACTGAATAATTTGCTGAAAAAAATACTGATCTATACATTTCAAATCTAAATTTTCACCGTGCAACACCGGATAACTCAGCTAGTGTATTATATTACAAGTTACACCTTTCACAGTAATTAAGATTTGTATTTAGAACAGTTACAGCATTTCGATCACCGGTGCGATCATTCTCAAGAACTCAAGATTTAACGGTAAAGAACGATTTAGTATTTAAATCAACATTCAACAATCTAAGAATTTATTTAAACTCTAGAGTTGATAGTGGCCACTTATTCATATACATATCAATCCGCGATAAATAGAAGTAAATATGGGCTATTTGTGCTGTGCCCACCACAAGTATCGAAACTCGGTTTTTAGCGATGTGAGCCCTCACACTTACCGCCGAGCCACTGAGGGGGTGGGTGGGTGCAGACATTGAATCATCACAATTCTTAGTTTGTTCTTTATAAAGTTCAATGATTTCTTGCTGAACTTGCTGGTAAGTCGACAGAGGAGAGAGAGACAATAGGATGAAGATGGCCTACCATGTGCAATTACATTGAATGGATATCGATCGGTCGTAATGACCAAAACTATTAAAAGGAAAGCAGTCTATATTCAGGAATGATGTCAACGACATTGAGGCCATCCAGTAGAAGCTGGGTAGACGAAAAAAAAGAAGAGAAGAGACAAATTTTGTTGCACCTGATTTGATTAAACATTCCAGTGACTTAAACAATGGAACTATGTCACTATTAAACCGACGTTTGAGAATCGTGAGTATCAGATCCACTGTTTCGCGAAAAGAAAAGGTAACTCTTTATCGATCTTTTTCCTGTCAGAATAGTTTGAATGGAACACCATTCATCGATGCGGTGATAAACTTTCTTTTTCCGTGGTTCATAATCTGAGAAAGCAATATTGATGGCGTCTGCCATCTGTTGAACTCTGTTTCAGTAGTTTTCAGACTGCAAGTCATTCCGCTGTTGTTTGTACACACATGTCAGTGACTGAACTCGAAGAGACGCGATCGACACATTTATGGATAGAAGTTAGAGATTTTTGGATACCACGTTGCACAGTTTTAGAAGATTTCTTTATATTGTCAAAAATAAACAAGAGCCATGAATCTTGTTTATTTTCTAGCAAGGCAGTGGCTTCTTCAGCGGTTTTGAGGTCCTTGATGATGTTTTTTTGACATGACAGCCAAGATCGTCTTTTACAAAAACACAGTTGTCAACACGTCTGGAATAGCTCCAAAACTTAATTTAATGTACAGTTCTTACGTTTTATGCTTACTTTTTGTGAGCTTATTTTTATTATGTTCCTTCAATAGTTGAATGCTTTTTTTTTAACTTTTTTGTATTTTTATAATTTTCTTAAAGCAAATCAAACGTGATAAGAAAATTTGCAGGACCCTGGCCCAGTGTAAAAGGTAAAACTAAAATCCTTTGTACAGTATCATACGTCAGTAGCGAACCTCTACTTGTTAGAAAAATGGAAATGGTGTCGCTAGAGTTACGTTGACGTAATTTACTGCGGAACTTTGTTTTTACTTATATTATGTCTACATAACGCATGTTCTATGGATCAGCGGTATGTTTGGTGCTTATTATTCTAAAAATAGGGTTTCGATATCAGTGGGGGCAGATAACAGATAACCTATTGTGTAGCTTTGTACTTAACACTTAATAACAAACAATTTTGGAGATCCTTCAAATTCAACTAATGTGTTCGCAATAAACACCCTTATAGTCCCTGTTATTACTTCCATTTGTTGTTTCAATAGAAAGTCACCTACATCGGCTCTTTTATATCAATGAAATATTAATCGTTTGAAACTGGACAAGAAAAATAATGTATAAAGAACAGAAGGTGAAAGAAAAGCTGCTTACTTTTTTGTTATTGGTACTATCAATACAACGTGAACGGGTTTGCGTAAAAAGTGCGCTCATTCATTGTTTAAGCGAAACCCTAGGTATTTGCTGTGAAATCATATTGCATGTTCCAAATGTTAGAAAGGAATAAAGTTAAAACAATTCGATAAGATCTCCGGTTAAAAGGATAATCATTTGGTCTAAATTATACTCAATCACTATTAGCTGGTCATTAATCCTGTTTTGTTTTAGTTGTTGTTTTTCTTTTCTGGGGGAGAGGTGGAGGTCGATTTCGGTTGAGCGGTAGCTTTTTTCCAGCTTGTTTGATTTTACTTATTCATCATCAAATTTAGTTTTGAGGTTTTGCTATAATACAACTGGTTCATAA